GGGATTTCGGGGAATTTCCACGCTCTCGCGCAGCTGTTCACGACCTTTTCACCCAAAAATGCCACTTTGAGCAATCTCCAAAAGAATCACGTTGAAAAAACAGCAAGGAAATTGTCTCACTTCTGACTCACAAATTGTGCCGCGACTGATATACAATATTCAGGAAAGAAAATTGTATATTCATCTTTCCTCAAATGATATCTTCAGAAAGAGTAATTAATATACATAACGTTCGATTGAAACATGGATTGTGTCTCTGTCATCCTGATAATTCGAAGACGTCTGCTCACTTCCGTGCTTTCCATTTCTCTTCTCCACTCAATGGAGATATTTTGGTTTTCCAAATTGTTTCTTGTGGCTGTTTATTATGCTTGGGATCGTGTAAATTTTCCCAACGGTGCACACATTAAGACGGACCGAAAAATATTGTGACTAAAAATGCTTCTCATTGAGGTTTTGTCCAATTTTAAAATTAGTTAAATGTAAACATCGAGGGAACTCCGAACTGTGTCTGTGTCGCTTCTGTGATCACGAGGGGCAACAGAATGTCCAGAAAAGTGACCACATGTGGCTCGTGCGGGATGTGCAAAAGGGCGCGAAATGTGCTGGAAGTGCAACAGCAAATTGGCGCAGTTGATGAATATTTAATCGGATGTCAACTGACAGTGAGATGGACATTTGATGACCCCGCGATTTATGACATGTCCCGAACCGGCGGCAGCCGTTACGCGTGCGCCTGTGTTCCTGGAAAACTTGCGCGGGATGCCATGACGGCTCAATTGCACCATCGCGAATGCCTATGAGCGAAATGTGCACAATGTGTCGCGCCCGAGACCAATCAAAATTGCAAGCATTGCTCTCTCCTAAATACTCATCGATAGACTCTTTTTCCGTGCCAATAATTTCTCTCCCCAACACGGGAACCCCATTTCTTGCTGGCGGCCAAATACTCTGCATGCTGCCACGTTTTCTCACCCAAGTGTTATGCATTTTTCCGCGATCTTCGCGGCGCAAAATAATCCCAATGGCATAGTGAATCCCACCGAATGACCAGCAATGCTCGCAAGTTTGGCTATCACTTGATGAGCAGTGCTTCTGACTCTGCCATGGAGAGCTCTTGACGTTGAGCAATCGATCGTGAATTGAGTCGCGACATAGATTTCAGAAATAGATTGCGCAAATGTCGTCTCCGGGCATTGATTAACAGCGAGCGCTATCAGGAGGTGTCTTGCCAAAGAATTCAGTGCTCTGGCTATTTTCAAACCTCTCTGCGCTCAGCATGAGCTTTCAGGGTTGAATTTCCCCAACAAAGACAACCCCAAACTAAGAGTGTATCTTGGCAGATTGAATGCGAATATTTCCTGTAAAAAAAGTGTGCAAAAATTGCATTTCAACGTCGGAAATGTATTGATACATTGATGGATTTGTTTGATGGCATCGCGCATGCAATTCTTCGCGTTTCTGTGGCGCATTTTCACTGCTACTTTGAATCTCAATATCTCGAAGAAGCCGCGGGAGTCATAAATTTCATGACAACGAATCTCTGGAATTTCATGTTTGAATTTAAGGAATTTGACAACACTGAAATGTGTGCCAATTTCCGGAGTTTATCTTCCTACTTGCGGTTTTGACACTGTCGCGCCAAGAATTGCGACTCACCGCATCGAATTACTCACTTTTCATCGCGCGGACATTCCTTTTTTCTCCTCACACGCATCTCAGATCTATTTGTCGCAAAAATCTGCGCCTTCGATGAGAGGCTTTTCACACACATACACGAGCGACGTGCCGGGAAAATGGCTGGGCAAACAGATTTAGAGGAGATCCTCGCGCCATAACTCATCGACTAATGGGTCGCCCAAGGAATTTATAGTGAGTGTGGTTTTATTAATTCACCACATTTTTATTCAATTCCACTTTAAGAGACAAGAGACACAACAAATTTATTTAGTTGGACCCCTTCGGGAACACTCTCGCCATCGACGCATGGGATTTCGTGTCTGTTTTGGGTGATAATTAAGGAAATCCCACAAGATACGAGCCAGAGATTGTGGCATACCCAAAATATTGAGCTCCGATCTTCGATTCCCACACGGGGGGCGCCCTGGCGAGGGGGGCGGCCCTGTGGGGACTTCATGGGAAACAGGTGGTGACACATCTCGAGATTGATGGCGCTGACTCGGCACAGACTGCCCGCTGCTTAATGGATTTCTCCACTCTTGTAATGATGCCAATGCAGGTAGGAGGAAATGCACTCGGCTGCTCACCGGCATAACTCACTGACACTCTTTGTCTCCTGATTGATCTCATGTGATCTCATGTGCACACGAATTGGAGCAAAAAAAACACATCCTTTCGCCGAGCTGAAGAAAGAGACTCATTGAATCCCCGAAAATAAGCCATCCAATTGTCTTAAACTCTCGACTTTGATTCGTGGAAAGACTTCTTTTGCATATGATTTCCAGATAGATTTTCGAGAGATAAGCCATGGTCAAGCAGGAAGGTGAATTTATCATGTTTCGTTGGTCATCAGCGAGTTTCGGAGAAGAGAAGAATGGCCAAAAGTGAGATTTAAAGATATCCAATGGCCAGCGTGACTTTATAAATTGATTTTTAATCGAATTAATGTCCCATAGATTTCATGCTAAAAACAGTCTGAGAAAATTTGTGTTTTCTCATTCTCTCTCTCACTCAAAAAATCAATTCGATGGTGCAATTTTCTTCGCCGAAGGTGCAAAAAAATGCGCGGATCGTCCTGAAATTTCCGCTCAAGTGCATTTTGCATGTGCAAATGCGCGACATAAAATTCCATGCGACGCTGCAGCAAAAGTTCCTGCAGCAAAATTGATTTATAGTCCAACCATTTGAACTGCTATTTTATTATCTGTCGAGTGTCGAGGCGCAAAAAAAGTGTCTGGCGTTTTTGCTGGCAATTATTGGGGTGAAAATATGAGACGAAATTGTCTGGCCAGGGCGGATTTTTTCAGCATAAGCACATTGCCAGAGAGTGAGAAAGAGGGCGGGAAGTGTGTCCATTCATCATTTTCACCGAAAAAAAGGAACATCTTGTGGGAATTTATTCACAGGTTGGACGACATTTGTGTGATTTCTTCTGCTCATTTTCAAGCCAGCAAACTCGCGTGAAAATGGTTGAAAATTTCCACTAAAATGTGATATGTGAAAATTCGCGGTGTAAAAAATGCACAAATGAATGCTGCTAATTGACTTCATAGACGACAATGTCATTACAATGCTGATGGCCGTGGGCGAGCACATAAAATCTGCCGAAATATGCTAAAAACTCGTGTTTAATTACGGAAATATTTTTGAAATTTCAACTGGAATTTTTTTGCCCACCCATTGGAATGGTGAACTGATGAAAAAAGCCTCCGCGAATCCCAGCGCGCAAATCCCAAATGTCACAAATTGCACTGTGATTAATAAACTTTCCAGGTACTTGAGCAGTTTCCCTCGCAATATCTCAAACCATTCGGTCAAATGTGGAAACTTCTCTTGCGCACAGCGGAGAAATTTCGGTCGATTATTGATCACGTCGTGTATGGTTTTTTGTTGTTGTTGTAATCCGTGTTAGACTCATGCCTGTAGTTGATGGAAAATAGGTGCGGATTTTTCGGAAAATATGTAACGATTTCTATTGAAACAAATTGTTCATTATATGGATGATTTTTTATGGAGAGTCACGTCAACATCTGAAAAATGGACTTGTGATATTGTGAAGAAAGACAAAGCAAATTGAACTGCCTGTGCGGGCATGACTCGTGCGTCAACCACCCACTGCAGGTCGAGCATAGAGGCCAAAAAGACAAGAAAGTAAACAGTGTGGATGACACGGTGGAACAGAAATATTAATAGATCACTGAGCGAGACATGATGTTTGTGGCTTGTTCTTATCGCCAGGCAGCAATCGGAGTTTGGTGGAATCGCCGATGGTCCAGAGATCTGGCTCATTTTTCACGGAACACCTCAAATTAATATCTCCCTCGGCTCTTTCGCTGCTCAAGTCATAAATCATTGGCGTGATCGATTTATTGACTGTATTTTCGGTGGGATGGCGCTTAAATATTTCCCTCCGTGATCGTCCGGGTCGCTGGGCAAGGAGTCTCTGCCGTGGCCAGAGAATGCGATGTCATTGACAGGACCACGGGATGGAACGCCCAAGTCCACCGTTCCTACCATCATTTTCAATCACGCCATGCAGTCCCTCGCGTCCACATTCTATCGATTCCCAATAAATTATCCACGGCGATAGCATCAATCCATTGCGATCTCCCATCGGGAATCACTTGAGAGAATCCCCAAAAGTCTACAGACACAATTCCACTCAACTTGCATTAATTACCCGCCGATCTTTCGCCCGTAACTTGAGATCTTATTTATGCCTCTTGGAGGAAATTTGGCCTAAAGATGTGGTAATTTGTGGGGTCAATTTTCAGTGTTCACTTCGCTTTCATTCTTGGTGAAATTTATCTGTTTTGTGGGTGGTTTCTGAAGTCGTTTCTGAGCTGATAAAATTAGCCTGAAACACAAGAAGTGCTGTGTGAAAATACCCAAAGATTTACTAGACTTACCTTTGGACTCTTGTCTTGTCTTCTCTTCGGAAATGTTTGTCTGTCGTATACTCATGAGAAAATACACCCTTGAGACAGTGCAAAAGCCAAATCAATCACAGCAAGTGATCCTGAACCGTTGAGTGCGCATCTGAGAGGAGCCTGAGAATCCCATTTGGGTTTAATTAGAAAAATCGTCGTTCGACTGTCCTTATTAAGACCAGGAAATGATTTCTGGTGAAATAAATCACACAATATGGGACAAAAATGACGAATTATGCCCGGGCACCACATGTCTTCTCCAGACTCCGATCCAAGACCATTTCCATAGCGAGATTTCCAGTGATAAATCAGGCGCAAAGGCATTTCAGGGTTGAGGCGAGAAAAAGGCAATTTTGGTGGATTTTTTCTTTAAGAGCAACATTCTGTCTTCAATTTTCTTTATTCATCTGCCTCAATATCTATTGTTATTTGGATTATCAGATAAATTATTTACACCAAAAATTTTGTCACTTGATGTGATGGATTCACTCTTTGTCACTTAAAAGTTTCCTACAGGAGAGTGTACAGATCATTGCCAGCGGACTACATCTAGAAATTGTATAATGATTGTTTGACTTTAACTGGTTTTTTTTCCTTCTCTTTGCAAAAAACCCTCTTTCTGGGAGTGTGTTTTCTGCATGAAAATTGCACAATTTCGATCATGTTATGGTCTAATAATTCTTTTTACAACTTCTCATGCAAGAACAAAATTCTTCGATGGATTTTTACCTCGGTTTTTTTCCACTTACTGAGACACTTTTTTCCCCTCCTCAATGTACATTAAAATTTCTTATGTTCAGCTCAATTACAAAGAACTAACAAAACATTGTCGATTTCTCAAATACCTCTAAATATTTACAGGAATTACTCTCTATATTATTATGCCTAATTTCTTTTCCTCTCCTATAGACAGACTTTTTCGCAATGTTATGTGGTCTGCAATTGAATTATTGTATTGGTACATATAATGATTTTTATTTATCTTGCCATTTTACGATGGAAAAGAAAACATTTTCTCACTTGATTTTGTGTTCGTTGCATTTTCTGTTATATGGTCAACATTGAATGAATTGATGAACCTATAATTATGTGGTATATTGTAGCTTTTGGGAGAGCTTTCAATGGAAAAACATCCACCCAACAATTGCAATTAATATTGGGAATTTTTGCTCTAATGGACAACAAATGATGTTATTTTGGTCAAATAGATGAAATTCAGCAAACTAGCATGCAATATTTCTCTCTTTTCATCTGTGTGGCTCTTTTCATCAAAACAATTACTGATTTTCCATTATCATTAACTCTCGAGGGCCTCTCAATTCACCCTGTCTACGGCTCCATGTTCGGTCATGCAGAAAAAGTTACATTTCAATATTGCCATTCTCTGTGTGTCCATATTTTCCACTCCGTTTCCAAATTACAGCACCTTTTCGCACAATAAATTTCGGGGACTGTTTTTGCACAGTCTATCAGAAATATCATGATTACGAGCACACAATTCTGTTTTTTTATACTGCCAGCAATGAGTACATGTCAAGCTTTCATTTGCTGCAAGAAAAATACCCATGCAAATAAGGCCTGAAGAACGAACTAATTATTTTAATAATGCTCAATTTCGTGGAAGCGCGTCTTCAAGTTTCCCTCCTGTTTTTCCATGCTCATCGCAAAGAAGAGTGGCGTGTGTTTGCATATGCGCGAAGAAAAGCAAGTGTTTAATAACAATAAATTGCACAAAAATATAAAGAATAACACATAATATTGGGAAGAAAATGTGGCGCGAACTGTGAAAAAAGGAGCGATTATTAAATTCAACAATAATAGTCGTGTGTAATTAAGATAATTAAACATGGCAACTTGCAATTTATAGCGGTTGGAAGCCGCACTCGATGGGAAGAAAAACCTTTCTTAAATAATTCGTGTGCATAGGCTTGTTTTTCTTCAGCGCCAAACAGCAATTACATTTATTGTCTGATAGTTTTTCTGCACTCTCCCGCTGGACTCTCTTCTCTTTTCCTTTTGCCGCCAATTGGCATCAATCTCTCATGTTTTGTGCTCACTTTTCTTCGCATGAGTTGAATTTTCCTGGAGTTGTGCGCGATTTTCCATCTATCTGAGCATTGTTGCGCTTTTGCAAATTTCCATAATTTACACAATTAATGTAACATTTATGTAATTAATACTCTTTATCTCGTTTTTCCATCGGTTCTGATCTATCACGGGAGGAGTTAATTGTTAAATCGTTTTGCTGCAAGATTTCTGTCTGTCCGCCGTTCATTTTCACATGCGAATCTTCTATGCAAATGTTGTCTTACTCATTCTGTATGCATGCCTTGGCGAATGGGAGGCTGTCGGAAAAGCTGTGTGTGGGTGGTTTTGACGGCTGACATTTTTGCACGCGACAAGGGATGCCATTTCTTGAAACCTTTCGTTGTCGATGAAACCTATATTCTCCTCTCTGTTATCATGCTAAACACACTCAGAGATGTTCATGCGAGGAAAGAAATCAAAATACGACTCCACAACGAACACTGACTCAAATTTGCGCGCTCTTACACAATTCTGGGCAATTTCCCCATTATAACTTACTATCACGATTTTTATCCTAATATTTTATTGAGTTTTTGTACCACATTTTATATACTCCTATCTCTTACACACTTGCTTTTGTTGTTTCACTAGAATAAACTTTGTGTGTTTCTTTTCTTTCACAATTTTATCCTTCTTAGAGATTGTTCGTTAAGCTAATACTGCGGCACCAACTGACTTTTTGCTATATTCTTACGGCTTTAGAACCAGTAGAGATCCTTTGATGACTCTTGAACTTGAGCCTCGAGGCCTGCAAAGACAAGAGCAAATATCATACATGTAATCAATCTTCCTATTTCCCAGTCGGAAAAGCCGCTAAACTTCAATTCTCCCCCGCTTGTGTGTGCGGCATTCATACATATATGGGGAAAGTGTGATGGGGCGAGCGCTTGCAGACCTCATAAATACACCTTGTGATGTTGTTGGGAAGTTAAGGGAGAGATTTGAAACACGCGCTGGAGTTTCGAAGGCGAACGGATGTGGATATTGTCACCACGACCGCATATTACATCAAACAAACACACGCGGAGGGTGGAAAATTTGCATTGAGCACAAGAGACGCGCATCGGGAGGACAGAATTCATTTTGCCACCCTCACCTTTCATGAACGCAGCCCCTGCGCCATGGCTCACCCTCGTGCTTTCTGGCAGCCGGAGAGCCATAAATTTCCCTGCTCGAGGGGAGCAGAGACATTCGCCGCCCTCCAGGAGCAGCCCCTCGGCTGTCGTGCATTTGAGCAGACATTTCATTCATCACCACCCCATCAGCAATGGCGCAAAACACCCTCGACGAGAGTCGAGGCAACGGACGCCGGATTGGACTTGGAGGGTCTTCGCCAGCGGAATGACCCTCGAAAATGGAGGAACACAGCTTTAATAGGAAACACTACGGGCTTTGTATATATTCGAGTTTGCAACATATAAAACTTTATTCAAAAAAGAAAAGAGAAGGTTACCGAAAATAGTCCCCGCTTGTGCATATTTTCATTTAAAATAATCAACAGGGAAGCGGTTATCATCCTTTAATTCAATGGTTTACCTCTAATTTAAAAAAGGAAACACGAACTAGACGTTTTTGAGAAACAATGGTGAGCAAATAATAAACACTTCAGTAAGATTACTTTGATTTGCTTTTAAAGTATAATTATCCTTAAGCTCATCGTATTTCAAGTAGACTATAGAACTCCAAGTTGTAGTAAAGTGAGCAGGATTTGTGTATTTATCTACTTTTCGTTACGATACATTACAGAACTACCATTTCGGAGAGACCAAAGATAAATGCAGAAACTCAATACTCCGATAGATTCTTTTGAGGAATCTTAGATAAAAATCTGTATAGTCTTTCAGTGACTTGCAACAATTACAATAACAATTCAATTATAGAGAGAAGAATTGAGTATTAAAAGAGCTTCAACCTGTCAAGTTTTTGACTAAACGACAGGGAATGCCAAAGGAAGAGATTTCAGTGCAAAAGTCTTGGGAAAGCTCATCTTTTTGCCTTCTGCGGGCGAGGAAATTGATGTCTCTGGGAAATTTCGGCGGATGCGCAGAGAAAAATGCCTCTGGTGATGCCCGAAGGAATGAACAGAACAGAGATGCCGACAGAGCAGCGAGTGGACGAGAGAGCGAGAGAGAGGTGAAAAATTGTGCGAAAATGATATTAAAGTGGAAGCTGCGAAAAAATAATAAGGAAAGAGCATATCATCTCGAGAGCGACCAATGCAAGATGCCGACGGTGAGCTAAGGACCGCCTCTTGGAGCAACGCGGCAGAGCCCCAAGACTCCCCATCGATTGCAATCGCGCGCGATGGTGCAATTGAGTGGCTTCGGCGATCAGACGTTGGATTCTTGCGCATGCAAATGGCCAAGAGGGAAAGGCAGGCGATTAAATTGCGCGAAACTCGATGGCGATGCCGATAGACATTTAAGGCGACTCCTAATTAATTGTTCTCTCACATTTTATGGGTGCAATTTACAATTTTATGTGTTCTCTCGCGCTCAGAATTTCTCCATTCTCAACACCAGAAAGAATTAAATGCTCTCTCGATGGACTTTGGGTTTTGCCAGGGAGTTTTTGAGGAAGGTGAGCATGACACAAAAATAAGTTTTTAGGTCACTCTAACGAAGCTCTCCGCACTTCAATCAATATCCAATATATATTGGGTGTTCTCTGTGCTGGGGAATCACAACTAAAAATTCCTCAATGGTTTTCCACCCATTCACTCGGAGAAAAAGCATTTCGACCAACCCTAGCCGTGCGCATTGGATCGATGAGGAATTTCCACAGTCCACAATGAAGGATTTCCAGCCCAAAATTCAGCAAATACACAAAACACTTCATTTTGACCAAACAACAGTGCCAAGGGAACCAATTTCCACCACTCGACGGCTGAATTTCTCACCAGAAATTTAATTAAAAGCTCCGGTGCAATTTTAAAATAATATTAAACATTTCTGCACATTTAATCATTCCTCCGAAGCACCGGAACATGGCGAGCTTCTGGGGGTGAGGCAATTTTTCCCGGGCGCCCCAAAGTGGGTGGCAATCCTCGAGTTTTGACTTCGAGGGAGGGAAAACTCAGTGATGGACTTGCAAGAGATTCAATTTGGACATGCTTCTCTGGGTCTGGAATTTCTTGGATGGAGTCAGTGAATTAAATGAGGGTGGATCTTGAGGTTTGGGTTGAAATATGTTTACATCTTGAGAGATATTTTAGCCTTTTGTATATAATCGTATATTTAATAAATTGAAATACGACTGTCTTTCAAGTTATGGCATTGCAGTATGTATTTGATTCAGTGAGAATTATCCTTTTTCTTTTGCTCAAATGCCGACAAAGCTGGCTTGTGAAATGGGAAAATGTTTAATTATTCCACTCTGTGGTTTTCCTGTGCGGTGAAGAATTTTGAATGTTGGAAGAAAATTCCGTTGAGTGCGGGATTTTTCTTCGCCAGTCACATCTGGAGAGCGCGGGTTTTATGGCATTTGGAAATTTAATTAAAATTTCCAAGTCAAAAATATCAAATCTCACGAGAATTCCCGAATGTTTATTGTGCTGAAAATTAGTGAAATGCTCAAAATGTTTTCCATTTCATCGACACTCCCTCAATTTTCTCGTGTCTTTGTTCCTCGCAGAGATGAAAATATCTGTACTGAAAAGATAATTTGCCACCGCCTAATTTCTATGGAGTGCAACAATCACATTGCGGCACCGATTGATAGTGTGAGCAGCGGCCAAGAAAATTGGTATGAAATTAAAATGGAAAACAAGCACAAACACATCCCAAAGACGGTCAGCAAAAAGTTGCAAAGTTTTATGCGAATGCAGACACATTCGAGATGGTGAGTAAAAAGAAAAATGCCATAGAGAGAAGAATGCTGGAATGCAATTTATAGACTTGCACAAAAAAGTTGTTATAGAGCATTTTAGACTCTGTCCTTTCCTTTGGAGATGGATCATTTTTCCGCGCGCAATCCTTCACTGGAATATTCCTCACTCTTAAAGACCCCGCTTGAGAGTCACACACTGGAAAAGGAAAACTCCTTCGTACATTTCCCCTTATTCAGCGCGCGAATCAATATTTCTCGTGAAAACAATTCTTCTCGATCGCATTCAGAGAATCATCCTTTTGCCTGACAATGGTGGATTTCATACAATTAATTATCATTTCACGTTTTGTCGACCTAATTATAGTTCCAGCGAGAATTTTTACCTCAAACCCAGTGGCGTTTTTCCCTCTGGCCGCACAATTAGAGCTAGAGTGGCCTTTCTAGAACCACTCGCGCCACTTAAGGCAACCTCCATAATTGGGGGGTGGAGTTTCATTGATATTTTTTACCAACGTCCTCACATTGAGCATTGGGGCGACAGAGAGAGGAGGATTGTTGTGGCTAAATGCTGGGTAGGTTTTCTTGAATGGCACCAGAGGAATGCCATCCTGAGTCGCGGCGGGAAGAGGTGCACAATTAAAAGCGCATGCATTTTGTATTAACATTCCGAGCGGCTCATTTTGACAAAGATGACTATCTGTCATAATCATTGGTCATTTACAATGCGCCTGGTGACGTGCCGGTTGGCTTCTGTTGTCTCGCGATCCGGGGGTTGTGACAAGGTGTCTCCTTCGGGGGCCAAGAGAGATGGCCAGACAAATCCGACGGCTCTCGCGACATGCCAAAGTGGCGGGAAAGAGAAGGTCGTGAAATGATGAATCCTCGCGTCCATGCTGCAATTTGGCGGCCAAACAAAGACGCTAAATCGCAGCGAAAATGTCCGGAATGTAGATTCTAAGCAATTTGTGACCAGACACTTTTTGCCGCTCAATCGGCAGATCAAAACGGTCGGAGCATTTTCAGGGAGGAAAAACCTCAAATTTTAGTTTACGCGGTTGAAAACGAAACAATTTGGAATGTATTTCAGCTTGATAAGGTACATTTCAAGTGTAATTTGCTACATTTGGATCATATGTGACCAATACGATATGTCCAATTACTTTACTTATTTTTCAAATGGCTGTTTTAATATCAAATAGAAGAAAATGAATATTTCTATCAACATATTCCGATGTCATGGGTGTTTTAGATGGATAAATAAAAAAAAACACCGCTTTTTAGCCAGGAATAGTGCATTTTTGAGATGTTGAGGAGGTAATATCATATCAAGGCTTGGCAAGATATTGAATAATGATACTCACCGGCCATTGTGGGGTAGCTGGAGTACGCCGCGGCGCTCTCGAGGGCGTGTGCCGTCTGCTGATCATGATGCAACCTGTAATCGAGCAATTGAGACCATTTACTACGGGCGCATATTGCAGAGTGCGCCGAAAAGTCCTTCAGAGTCAGTGTGGACAGACTCCCAAGACGTCTCACCTCGATCCGTGGCCGTACTGCTGCGGCAGCCGCAGCAGACTCCCGTACTGCGCCATGTTGTGGTGATGGTGGTAAGCGTGAGCCGCGTGAGCGTGCGCGTGAGCCGCGTAGGAACCGTAGTGGTGAGGAACCCAGGGATCCGTTGAGTAGCTCCCGTCCGCTGAGTACAGATCCGGAACCTGGCGAGAGAGAGAGAGAGAATTGCATCGGCGTGAGCTCATCGCCTCAATTTGCTATAGTCAATCACACAACTCAAGGCTCCAAGAGCTGGAGGAATTTCAATTCACAACTCCGTGAAAATGTATCAATCTCTTCGCACTGACTGCTCTTGGTCATTGACAGTTGTGTGGCAGAAAAAGCACACACGAAGGAGTGCCTGACAATGAGTATGAGAAAACACCTTTTGCCGCACCGCGAGCTAAACTCCAATAAGCGAATGCATTTTCACAGTGGCTCTCAAGCGCAATATAAATTTTATAGGAGCTGAAAATTTCCCACAGCATCAATTTTTGTGAGTCATAAATTAAACACTTCTTCCTTGAGCAATCAAGAAATTGATGTAAAGGTTAACATTTTGAGACGTTAATTAATCTCTCACTCGAAAAAGTGTGAGATTGCTATTGCTCAACAAAGACTTCTTCATTCGCATAAAAGTATGACTGAAATAGAACATTTGCAAACTTGTCGACAAAGTGTCTTGAATCACAAATCGATAAATGTTGTGCAAATAATTTCATTAACGTATCTTTCACCTCAAATTCAGCTCTCGGCACAAGGTAAGAAATCATAATTGATGTGATTTGCAGTCAATCAAAAAAACAGTAATTAAAATCAATAAATTATCCGTCATAACGAAAGGAATTCACGTTTTAGGTCAATCAATTCAGGTTTTCTCGCGCTCTCAATAGATTATAAAATGAACATCTCGGCTTGCTGACCACAATACTAGATGGTATCATGTTGGATGGAAGGGCTACTCACTTGAGGATGTGTGGGCGCCGGAGTCGGAGGTACGTAGTTGCTATTCCAGAAGGATGCTGGAAAATTTCTCGCCGACATCGGACTGGATCCGTCTGTGAAACAAAATTACCACCGATTATTGGCTGTAATTAAGCATTTTTCCCATCTGTTTTCACCGGCAATTGTGCGAGTTGAGCGACAGGCGAAAGGATAAATGTGACTGCATCATAAATTGCGTCCATGGGGATGATAAAAGAAGTAGCAAAAGGCGGGAATTTAGAGAAATATTCCACGGAGAGAGAATCACGAACCAGATGAAGAAGAATCCCACTTTTTCTTCCCATTGCACATCCCCATCGGCCCTTTTGATATTGGAGAGTGGTCCTGGGCCACTTTGTAAACTGCTCTCTTCATCGATATTTTTGCCACAATTCCATTGGCATCCGACGCGATCTCGCTCACTCTCGCCAAAGTTCTTCCACGGCCCGCCATCACCCGGTCAATCGGAATGCTCTTTTTACCACTGCGATTCGGTAGTGTTCTGCGAATGTGTCGTAAGACGAATTTATAATTCACCCGGTGCCGATAAAAAATCGATTAGATCGCTCTGGGACTGCGACTCTCCGGGGAGAAACATCAAACAATTCTTGTTCTCGCATATTTTCCCATAATACGCGTTGCCCCTTTTTCCCCAATATCCCATCGTGGGCCTTTTTTCAGCTCTCCCATGACTTCTCTTGCCTCCCATGAGTCTCTTTCACAGGCGATTAAATTGAAATATTTTGTATCAATGTGTTCAGTGAGATTAATTTATCGATAAACATGCAAAATTCATCTTCTAAGCCTGTGGAGGCGCCTGGTGGCCAAGAAAAACCACTGAAATAAATCACCAGAAATCACGTTTTGCTTCATTAATTCCTCTTGCTCTCTCTCACTCGTCTCTGTCTCATTTTACTCAGCGCGGCAATGCCCGAAAAAAGTGTAACAAACTGTGCGAGAAAAGCCCAAAGTGTTTCGAGACATATTTAATCCCATAAGAAACAATTAACATCGACTGAGCAATAAATTCAGTGTCTCTTCCGCGACTCAAAAACTCAACTTCACGAGACAGTGCAAAAAATGTCACAATATACGGTCTTTTTGCTGTGCTGTGCCATCCAAAAAATGAGACACACTATAAATTTATATTCATACTCAGTGGCGGAGCACATGTTTTCGCGATGGGAGATCAAAAGCCCACGGAATTCTCCTGCCTTCCCTCAATTGTCTCTCAATACGCCAAATTGCGGGCCTGAGAATTTGCAAACTCACACCAAAGAGCTTTTCATACAGCAAATTTTCGTTCATTCGCCTCGAGATTTATTAAATTCCGCTCTGAAATTTTCGTCTCTAGCAGTGATTGTGCCCAAGAGTGGCAAAATGGGAGAGATTTGAACATAAAAATGATACTAGACTCACGAAAAACACATTGAATTCCGTTTCTTACGTATAATATTGAACTTTAAAGACCTTTTCTTGTTAGATCACTTCACAGCATGTATGAAGACCAAATCCTACACCCTCAAAAAAAATTGCCAATAACTCCTAAATTGGTAAAAAATTAGAATTTTGCCAAATTGCAGTTCATAAAGAACAATAAAGCGTGATTACCGCGCTGTCATTTGTTCTCAGGGCGCGATTAAATTCCTCTTCATTTTGAGCTTTTATCTGAAGATCCCTCTCTTGAAACAATTAATTATACTCCAACAATGGGTGAACATTCTAGCGGAAAAAAGCACTTCTCCCCGTCTGCTCAGCGAAACCATAAAGAACCCATTGATTTCTGTAATTGTTCCTTGGCAAAGGTTGGAATTCTTTGGGTGAAAAAGTCATTTTGGGGTTGAATCACCATTGCGACAATTGAGACACGCTTGGGAGCTTTCTCACAAGACTCTGGCTTTGAATACAAATTTAGTCTTCTTCGCGAGGGTGAAAAATGGTGGGAAAAGCGCGCTAATTGTCGACGGGGAGACACTCTGCGGGGTGCGCTTTCAATGAATTTGCATTTATATTGACAATCAGTAAACCATAAATTTTTGCACCGCGCGCAACACAGCTTCTTTCAATGAGAATTGCTTAATTAAAAAACTTTTTCCTCGAAGGCGGAAAATTGTGTGCCGGGAGATTTTCCGTCAGTAGTAAATTAAATGTTTTGCGCTGATTTTTCCCAGAGGAATTTGTGTGTGTGTGTGTGCGATGGGGAGAAGAAGGGCTGTGGCGTTAGGAAAATTGTGTCCAAAATTAACTCGTCTGTGAGGAATTTTTCTTGGGAAAAAGCACAAAGTCACGCCGGTGGAAATAAACTCATTGAATTTTTCTTGCATGTTGCCACACATTCTGGAGATGGAGTGGATGGAAGGAAGAAAATGCTTGAAGAGTTAATTTCCATTTAATTGGTTGCATTTCGCTTTTTTGGGGTTAATTCTGGGCCGCCTTCTCTCTTCCCCGCTTTTCCCACCTCTGAAGCATATTCATTTATCCCCGGCCGGAAAGTGATTTTTAATTTAATGTTAATTTCCATTGAGTTTTAACTAACGATTCGTCGAGTGTTTTGCCATCATAACTGTCGCCATCCATCATAAAAATGTGTGTTGAACGTGTTGTGGCGTGGCTGTGAAGATGGGCCCAGCGATGATGGGGCGGAGGGCGCGATAGAGTGAAGGAATTCATTCGGGAAGATGCGCGAAAGAAGGAGGTTCGGGGACAAAAAATTAATTTATGGATTTCAGAAGCTACAAAAGAGAAAAGAGACATTGAATTCCATTCTTGAAATTGTTCCTTCACAGACACACATCGCTTTCAGAATGAGTCAAAGTCGCAATCGCCAGAGAGTTTATTTACAGTGATACAAATTTGCCTGATACTTTTCCTTTGATACGCACAGCATTTCCACAAAAAAGCACCATTTAAGCTATGAAGATAATAGAAATGTCGAGTGAATCTGTTTGGGAAAGGATGAAGATTAATTTATGGCTGTTTTAGTGATTTAACTGAAGGTATAAGCAAGCATTAAAGTCATCATTAATTATTCTCGTGAGCATCACAAATCGCAACGATATGCAAAATAGTCTGCGTGCTCGCTCTAACACTCTTGTCACTCTCTTTTACACGCCAATGCATCAAGTCTCTGTCAACCAGCCACTTAATGAGATGTGCTCATTAGAATTTTCCCGAATGAAAATTTCATCCAAACTGCAGCACAAGTTGCACTTCGATGTTTCTCTTCCAACCCAGAGATTTTCATGCGGCCAGATTGTCAACAATCTCTGGCGCATTGAAAGATGTCTGACTGAAAATTTCCAATAAACTCGTGCCATGCGAAAAAGTGTAAATTTCGCTCGCATGGCGTATTTAACACTAAAATATCGCCTGTGAAATTGAATTATAAAATGGCTTGTGATGCAGCTTTGCTGGTGCAGCGCAAAAGCTGCAGCGGTAGCGAAATTCTTGACCTGGGGCCAACTCTCTAACATCATCAACAGAGAGAAGAGGAGCATTTTGCTCCACATTGCCCGCAGGGACTCCCCGAAGTGAATACTGTGAGGAATGGAATTTCTGAATTCCTTTCTTTCTTTCTCTCTTTGCCTCCAAGTCGCTCCATGCTTGTGTTTTTTACAATAACAGATAAATGCTCACTCGCTCTTCACTGTGTGTTGTTTCGATCACGGAGATTTTTATAGAGTCCCGATGCGAGGGCTGTGCAGAAATTTAAGAATTTCATACACAATTCTGTATAGGTTATAAGATGATAAGTGTGCACTGATTCGCCTATCTAATTTCCGCTTCTCCTTTGATCGAGAGACAGTGAGTGTCTGTCTAATTTAGCGATTAGAGATGTTCACTGTTGGCTGACAAAGAGGCACGCATTTGTTATAAATTTCGTCTGTAGAACAAAAGAGTAACGCAGAGTTGCTAAAAAGAAGCCTCTTGTGCGGAATGCGTAGCATTCAGTGTCTCTTTCAGCGACTATTGTGATACATCATCGTCCTTGTTGGTAAAGGCGAGATGACTTAGGAGTTGAAAGTTGCTTAATCCACCGAAAGTGTGCAGTCGTGGCGGTGATAAATGATGTGAAAAGTTGCCGTTTTGCATTTGGACTGCAATATAGTGATGGATTTAAGTGAACAAAAACCACACAATTTGTTACATTTGCGATCACACTCGAAAATAATGATGAAAAGATTTGTAAACCATTTAAAATATTTTGCACGCATTATTAAAATAGTGCTAGCTCATTCATAAAATGAGTTGGCCAACAGGAGGGATTTCAGCAATGCCTCTCTGTTGACGAATATTTAGCATTTCGCGCGTTTTTGATTGCACTGCCACGACCAGGCATGCCGCTGTGAAGCAGAAGGAGCTGAAAAAACTGCCTCAATTGAGGCTCTTTCTCTCTTTCACTCGCTGTCGCGGGGTTAAAAACGTGATTTGATGCCGCGAGAGGATGACGGTAACGATCCGGGCGTGACAATCTCGAGTCAATCTCATGCATGCATCGATTGAATTTTTATGGGAAATCTTAAGATTCCATACTAATTTATTTCATACTCGCTGAACCATTCGCGCAGGTGTCTCACCACCACCGGGCGCCTCCACTGGGCTTTCGCGGTCCGTCTAATTGGACAGGACACACGGTGTCTCGATAGGTGTTCAAAATGGCTCTCAAGCGGCAGGAATTACACAGAAAAAAAGCAGCTCGCTCATAAATTAGCTTCACTTGCAATTTTCCGTGCTGATTTGTTGTGTCATGCGAAACAGACAGATAATGCCTGGGCACAGACGATAAAAGCACCGCGTTTCATGCTCAATAATTATCTATTTTCACTCGCTGTTTTACAACACATTAGAATCAACTCGCTATTTGTTTGCCGCGATCATGGAAATATTCGTGGAATTTATGAAATTTTTCAATTGTAATTCAGATGCGCTTAGACGAAAACCAGAGCGGATTCAGCGCACCGCGATCTTGCGCGAAGCATCAATTTAATGCTTGAAGGTTCAGTCATTTTTTACACAACCATCCGATTGCCAGGTTAATTAGCATCGCGGAGAGCATTGCTGTGAAATAGGCATTTTGCTCATTGTTGGGAGAGTGGAAGCGTTCTTGGAAATGCTTTTGATGTTGAATTCTGTGAAATTTATAGATATTTCTCAGAATGTTCCACAATCCTAAAATGAGGTTCGATACACTGTGTGTGCGCGGTTAGTAATAAGAAATGTGTGACATTTACGCTGAAATTTGAATATAACACAGTGTATCTGTCGCCGAGAGATTAAGAGATCCAGTGCGGAGTTCTGCAAACGCACTGCCTATCCCATAAATTAACATCACACCCGATGATTTATTATGAAATTAGTATTTTAATTAAAGATATGACTTTATAATTTGCACATGAGACTTGCGGGAAATGAGAGACAAGTTGACTCTGTCGCTCTCCTGAAAACACACACACGCGCGCAAGTTGAGGACGAAGGGCGAGTGTGACAGACTCTTAAAGAGGATGATGGATGCCACAAGGAGAGCAATTAGCGAACACATTCGAGTCACTCGAGGAATCATGAATTAATGCTCACAATAATTCTGTGGTGGATTTCATTGTTCAAACTCCCTGCTTAGCGATGAGATTTATGGGGAGAGATTGGATTTCGATATACAAATTCTGGCATGGCCTCAGGAAAGTGTCACTAGTATTTCGGGCCAAGAGGCTCGCAGTGCAGACGAAATTATGTGAAAACACCAGAAAGGAATATTTAGCGTTCTGGAGCGACACACGAAAATGCCACAAATCGTGTATGAAAATTCAATAAGAGACTTTTGTTACCTCTAAATCATGGTGGGGACACATTTTGTAAACATCGTAGGGGAAAATGTACATTTTGGTCGTCTGTATGTGAGACTTTTGGCACGGTTATATGACGAATGGAGGAATCAGGAAATTTTCAAACTCTCAAAATTTAGAACTTCTTAGACCGATTTAATTGAAAGTTACTCAAGGCATTCAGAGATATTTAATTTGAATGGCGATCATCACTAAATATTTGTAGTCTTTTGGGACTAATAGACGAGGAAACCCATTATTTCTCTCAATACCCTTCACACAAAAAGCATTCGCATGAGTGAGAATAAAGGGAGGCAAGGAATGTCCAAATTTATCTAATTGCCTTTTAGTAAAACCATCGAATTTTTCATAAGACAAGCCTTAAAACCCTTTTCTTCGCCACGCGAAGGACAAGATAAGCAATAAAAGGGCTAAATTTAGTCATCAAAGGGCCTGAGACACTTTCAAAGAAGTGCCTGTGTTTTTATTGTCCATGTAAGTCCCACAATTTATGATGCACCTGAGAGAAGGAAGATTCGCAGATGGTCAAGAACACGGCCAAGAACGGTGAGACGCGCGAAGTAGCGAAATTTGCTTATGTCGATTCCATGTTCTGCGTCCCCAGCAATCCCAGTCGCTCCTCTCTGCAAAAGACTGATCCGATAGCAGTGATAAGGTGGATTTTTACACACTCTTTATTCTCGCATTGAGTCGCCGTATCGCGTCAGAATCTCATCGCGCGGGCAAATTCGCGAGAGACGGACAATGAGAGTCTCAGCGAGCATTCGAGGAGGAAGATTTGATCGTCAAATTGTGTCCCCATCGAGAGACACCTTCGAAGAAATTCATTTTGCCATGGGATGACCAGACAAATAAGACAAAAGATGCTGTTGCGTTCCTCCCGATGCGAATTTCCCAGCTTTTTCTCACACACCTTCCCATGTATCGTTTTGTTCCATTATGTTCGGGATTTCGTCTTTTTTGCGCCCGCTTTTTTCAAACCATCGTGAATTTTTATTGTTTCCCCATTCGATCGCCAGCTTCCCCGCGCGCTCCGCCACTTTATCAGGCAGTGTGTGACACACCAGAAAAAAGCATCTCGCAGTTAATGTATTTGTTTGCCTTTTGTCGGCGACTTCTTGTAATGTTGCGGGTTCTCTTCTGTGCATATAGTAAATCACCGAATGGAAACGGTTAACAAGGTTGTATCATTTTCAAGAAATTGTCTACCGTTATTGGTTCCGACGCGACCTTTCTGTTGTCTCCCCTTCACGTGTAATTAATTAATAGTGCCAAACTTTTGTCCAGACTCTGAATACGCGAGAACCATCGATTAAATCTCCGATTGAATCCTGAGATCTTCGCAAGATGCATCTGATTGTGGTGCTCTTTTTTAGCTCGCGATTCAACCAGAAATGACGGAAATTTATGATATCCCGACAGGTTTAGTGTTGAGTTACGCTGAAAAGTCCTTTTTCAAGGGTCCCAGTAAGAGACCACCAACACAAAACGCATAATAATTCAATTGATATTCCTCGGAGATCCAATTTGGAGGTAAAAGCAGAGTCACAAAAATTAATTATTATGTTTTCTCCACTAGATGCGCTTCTCTTCCCTTATCATCGCCCAAATCAAAAGGCACCCTTTGCCACAGCACCGAATCAGAGAAATCGGGTGAGTCATAAATCTTGATTAGGGGTCGTTGACGCACTTAAAATGCATCTTACACCGACCTCCAAGGGGAGTGTCGAGGAGTCGCAGGGCAATAAAGATGTCAAAATATCGAATGAGAAGACATGCGGTGAAAGAAGTCATACGATCGAAAGTTTTGGACGCCCAGCAAATTGATTTATGCGCGCCCCAGGTGGAATTTATAATCTCGCGGCGGTCATAAAGCATTCCCGAAGGGTCTGAGGACTTACCTTTGCTTTCCTTATTGCTAAAGTTGAGTGCGCGGGAAAAGTGCTCGTCAACCACAGTGGCGGCGTCGCCACTGTAGTGCGTGAAGACGACACACGTTGCCGAGACGTACTGCGCCCGGGCGGGTTGTCCGTCGCTCGTGGGGTCCGCCGCGGCCACGTGGGGCGACTCGGGGCCCGAGGAGCAGGAACTGTCGTTGTGAGCGCCCGGCAGAGGACCTGCAAGGAGATTCAGAAACATTGAGCATCGTCTTCTCTTCTTCTCTCATCGACTCTTGGCTAAGCGCACCATTGTGATTGCTAAACCACAATATTTATGAGTGCACCTGATACGAAACATCGTCATTATCTATTTCCTAGGTCAGTCCAATTAGAAAGCAAGAGTGTTCGCATTGTAACCAAAAATTAATGTCAATTTCGCTGAAGGATTTGTCGTGTGATTCTTGGCATGGACACACAGAAATTGGTGAGAAATTAGCCAGGAATCCGCGTGAGATAGAGCGAGATTCTCGCCTCCCTCGCTCACTTCATTCTGTATTCATTCTAAATGGATTTTTTATGGCTTTTACGAGCCACTAAAGACGAATAATTGATTGACTCTCAAGCCACACTGACTAATAACGCCGTACAAATTTATGTTAATTGTCTGCGCGTCTCTCGTGCGACTTTGGGCCATCTCTGCATCCCCGAAGCTAGCGCACAGTTGATAAATTCCCGAATGACTTGAGGACACCTCCTGACGGAATTGCGTGTGTCCGAGTGAGATAGGAGGTGCGCAATAATCGCACGTCAATTAATAAAGGCAAATATTTGTGTTATTTCTGAGATTTTTCGGTGTGATTTCACGTCGCAGAGAGAAGCAAGAATCGTTTAATTTACAAATGAACACATCACATGAATGTGGTCGGACACTGAAAGGAATATGAAGTGCTCGTGTCACAAATAACGACATGCAAAAATGTAGACATTGTGCCTTAATTGCCTTCTCTCTGCCCGTAATTTACGATTGGGCGCGAGATGGTTACATTTTTGAGGAAAAAGGCGGCAAACACCGCAAATGAGGCCGCATTGCACCTTGTGGGGCAAATTTGCCACGACAAAAATTAATAATTGTATCAAAAGTGACACGGCGGACAAGAGAAAACCACCTGTCCACCTTTTCAGGTGTGTGATACATAGATAAATCGGGTGCGCCTCATTCATGAAAGACATTGGGACTTCTCTCTGCCAGCCAATGACGCGAGAATCCCACGATTTTCAGTGCCCAATTAGGGAATCACGTCGATGTGAGATACTTAACACATGAACTGCTCACGTCGGTTTTTTCTGTATAAATTTGAATGCGATCTTCAATGTGAAGACTCATGCTTTGAGAGATGGTTGAAGATGGTTTAGTATCTCTAGTATGCAGGAGTTTTGTGTAAAACCTACCTTCCGTGTCGCTCCTCGTGGCGCTGAGGTCTTCCTCTTTGGTGACATGTCGCTGGATGGCGCCCAGAGGGATCGTGGGCACGGCCGCGGAGGCTACTGACTGGGCCGAGGACACCGCGGCCGCGGGGGCGGCGATGGAGGGCGGCAGGATGGGGCTGCACGGCGAGTGTGAACTCCCCGAAGCGCTCGACGGTGCGAGTGGGACGCCCGATGAGGAGTACAGGTCCTGATTGAACTGCAAGAGAGGGGAAGGCTCTGGTGAGAATTTATCGATTTTCCCCCTCACAGGACACCCTCCGGCCAGACAAAGCCGTGGAGATGTGAACAAAAATAATGTCAATAAATTAAAGTGGGTAGCAATTCGTTCTCGAGAGCTCTCGCATTTACACCAAAATGTCGAATCTAATTTTAGAGAAGTGCGATGGAGAGAGACGCTCTTTAATTTTACGAGGCCGCGGCAAAGACACTCCTCGAAGTGGGAAATCCTGCCGAGAGGAGATTTATATCGACTCTGCTTACAGTCCAATTATATGGCGGAGGTGCACAATAAAAATTTACACGCTTTAAATTGCCGAGATGCATCAACTTTTTCCCATCGATTGCAACTTCTTCGCCACCACATCGTCAGAGATTATGAATCTTCCCGCACTTCGCCATGTTGGGCTGAGATATTTATCACGATCGCTCTCGTGTTTATCATTTTAATTATCGATTAAAGATAGCGAAAGGTTCTGTTGTTGAATATTGCTTGATACTTGGGAAATATATGTTGTGTGATTGGTGTGAAACTGGAGAGATAATTGAAATAAACATTTTTTGCATGGAGGAAATGATCAATTACATTGTGTATTGAGAGGAATACGTGAAGTTTCGTTATAGAGTTTGCCGTCGGTAAATTCTACAGTCGATGAGAGGCGCTCCAGTCTCCAGTGTATCTTGTGTGTGTGGCGAAAGAATTTCCTCTTCAAGGGTGGAAATTGCGCTTGAGATTCTCGCAAGTGCTGAGTGCGTTTGCGTGTCACCCTGTTAGTGGCGAAGTGAGCGAAATTCGGCGCCTCTTGTGCCAATTCATTAGGCGCATCTCGAAACTCGAGTCCCAATCTCAAGATGCCGAATGAGCTCAAAGACGCTTCGCATATGCACACACGTAACGAGCCATCGATTTCAACTTCATTATCCCATTCAATTCATAATCCACTCGTGATATTGTCGATGACACACAAATAATGGGTACGCACTTGTCGCTTGAGATAACAACTTGTTTGCTGTGGCTGCACACGAATTCGATAAATTATTTATTAAGCCGCAGCGAGCAAAATCATCTGCTGGATATTACACATCGTTCCTCATCGCGCGTTTGTGGCCATCGTGCAGGGGCAAAAAGAGGCGCGCTGGCCGGGAATCTCATGTGGGAACAGCATGAGCTGTCCCGGCGATCCAGGGAGGCTCGAAGCGACACGAGTTCGATCACCAGAGCAAGAAATCATCAATAAAGAGACGTCTCTCGAGTGATTATGCAGGTAATGAGAGGAAAAACTTTTGCTCTCAGTGCATAAATTGCGTAAGAAATCGATACAGATTCGCTTAAGGTTGACTAAAGTTGAATTTCATTAGAGTTCTTAATTGAGGAACAGAATTATTTTGATTATTATGGGAAAACTGCGATGGTTTACTGATAATATTGCTAAAGACGTTTAGAAGATTTTCAATAAAAAATTGTATAAAAAAACACTATCAATCCGCTTTGTGTTGATATAGATGTTAGAGCTTTCCGATGTTTCCACGTGATTTTGATCTTCGCTCTTATCTAGCATTGAAAGTCTTTCTAGATCGGGAATCTTGAGGGTTCAGAAGCGCTTCTCATTTAAAGTTTTACTGGTTGTTCGACATTATAAACAGTCTAATTGCTATGGAAACCTTCTGATGGTTGAGGCAATGTAAGAACGGCGAGCTAAATGCGTTTCTGTTGGCCAGGAAGAACCGCAGATTACATCTCTAGGATCCCCCGAAGCGCCAATGCCGCCGACGCACGAGAGAAAGTGGCGACTGAAGAAGTTGGGGAATGGCACAATTGGCGCGGAGCACTTTGAGAGCGTCCAATTGGGGGAGAAACATCGCGGTGCACAATTCACAATGAAAATGTTCAGTGCCAGCGGAGACACAATGCGAAGTCTTCCGCAACGTGAGTTTGCCGTGAGTGCGTCTGAGAAATGTTCACGGCTCTAATTAGTTTAATTGATCCAGGGGCGCGGCGGGGCGCAGGGCGTCCCATACAATGTATGCACTTTTGTCGGCGTGTTCTCTTCCTCTCATCTCTCTTTCCCTCCGCCTGGGCGCACGGCGGAGTCCTCGTGAGGACACACAGTGCAAGATGCGCGAGTTTCTTACGCATGGAGCGGGAAGCCATGGACTGTGTGAGTGTAGTAATTGGGCGTTAAGACAATTGGAATGCTTTTGATTGAGGCCGCTCCGAAGATAAGCCATCATCGCGAGCGAATCTCCATGGCCGCGCGGAGATCGCTTTTCCTTCTCCACCAGCCCGGAGTGTCAGCCATGAGAAAGGTATTCCCTCTGGGACTCCCCTGCCTCTCACGAGCCGCGCGCGCTTTCATCTTTCGCGCCAATTCGAAAGTCATTTCAATTCGGACACGGATTCGCTGTTCTGATCGATTGTTTCGTTACCAATCGATGATGTTGCTCAATCAGCATCCATCTCTCTCCTCACCCGAGGAGAGGCATTAGAGAGCCTCGGCTGATCTTCTTTCTTCTGTCCGCGGACGCGCACGGAGGCACAGGCGGAGGTAGAAACACGATGGTAAAAATGCCTGTACGAGCAAATGATGGGCGGCAATAAAAGAAGCTTATCTGAATTTCGTGTGTTAAAGAACAAAATCATGTGAAGCGAGTACTTTTATTTTGGATACTAAATACAGAAGCCAATCGTTTTAATCTTTATAGCCGGCAGACACACAGAGCCACTCTCGGCGCGTCCTCTCAGCAAGGCACAGTATGCTGCATCCGTTAGGGATTCAAATTAAGACTTCAGCAATTTTAGTCAGTGTCAATGTCATTTTTGCAATGGAATCGAGCCGGTGCACTAATATTCGCGACTAGTGCCCATTCATCATATTCAGAGACAAAAATGACTCCCAGTTGACATGAGGTTTTGGCCTCATTCACTCAATTCGATGTCTCGGGCTGTCAATAAATCCATTAAATCACAGCTCATTTTCATTTTTATGATTTTTTCACCATAATGACCACGATCAACACTCAATCACGATCATTAACGAGCGTCATTAAGCACACCGAATTCGCATCTTGAATTTCCATTCGAAATGAATCACGATGTGTGGCTTGAAATCAATCTCCGTGATTTTTATGTTGGGAGCGACGGCGCGGGAATTATTATATAGTTTTCTGTGTTGATGGACGATATGCGGAAAAAGTTGAGCGTGTGTACTTAAGAAGAAATGCTGGCTTCTTTTAATTCACAACAATACACCGAAAAGAGTGTTAAGAACATGAAATCAATTACTCAATATAAATTTTTCCCAACAATGCAACAGTGTAAATCGCGCCGTGAAAAGGCTTAAAAGAGAGTCCATGAAATACACGTATTTGAAATGCAACCTCACCAAGTTTATATGCAAAGTGCATTTGCGGAGAAACACGAAAGCTGCCATGAGGAGAGCATGTAAAAAACTTGACGAACAGAATACAATAAACAAGCATTAATGTCAGTGAAATATTTTATAGCTCTATTACAACTAATTTTTCATTAACTCACTGATATGTGGATGGTTATATTGGAAAGATCGCGGAAGAGAATCGCTGACTTTTATGCACTATCTGTGAAGTTTGATGGCATCCTTGAATATCGCGAAGTTTTCAAATCAAAGAACTGATATGAATGTTAAGTATATAGTTATATATGCCTTAGCAAGACAAGATATAAAGGCAAGTTTTTTCTTCAACAATCACACGCACTTTTCACGCATTTATCGACTGTAAGCTCAGGGATGAACGCGCTCTGAGCAATCATGCAACGCTAATTTACTCTCTCCGCGAGACATTATCATAAATACTGATAATAGAGCTTCCTTTCCGTGATTTGACGGTAATATTATGCATTGCAATTTACTGATTAATCAATGAGGTGATTGATGCTGACCAAAAGGGGAGAAAATTTATTAATTTATTCCTCACAATCGTCATCTGATGCCAATTATACCACTGCCACTGCTCGTCTCGACGGATATCATCTCGCGTTTCCACCCAACATTAGCGATGTGTGTGTATTTTTCCAATTGCTCAAGTGCACTCATGATCTCATTTATGGATTATTGATATAAATTAATTACATAATGTGACAGTTTTCATGGTGCGCCATAAAGCATCGGCTATTAAGCCATTTTAGGGGAAAATGATATAATTGAATTTCATATATTGAAAATTTAATTGATTAATTCGCATCGCATTTTCTGCACTCGATGCGCGTCTCTCCAGCGGTGGAATTTCTCTATGGCATCGACAGTGCAATAAAAATAAATGAAAAAATGGATATGTTGCGCCTCTGAAGGAAAATTCTCGATGAGCGCGGCTCAATTTGACGGATTACTAGAATATCTCACCAGAGTGTTTTGCATTCCACTGTGAAATTGCGAGCGTAATCAATTTTTATCACTCTCATTGATATTAACAGAAGCATTTTCCACATTTTTCCCGTCATACAAACATCACAGAAAATCCCTTTCGAGATGAAAGTTCATCCGCTAAAAATTCCACCGAATCGCGCTCTTGAACTGATCCTCTCGAGCAATGCAAAAACACCTCAAACAATCAATTAATTGGCAAACAATTGACTTCGGGGAACTTTCAAGCCCAAAAATTCCGCCTCTCAGACTCAAGAGAAAATACAGTGAAATTGCAGAAATATATATATATTGAATTGATACAATTTGAGTTATAGGGAAATTTATATGGGCAATTAAATGCATTTCGAAATCTCTAATTAAATGCCACGAATTCCCCATTGAAATAACTCACTAATTGAATATGTGTAATACACCATCGAAGATGATCTACAATTCATCTCCATATGTGGATTATGAAGTGAGCCATAATTGCAATTCAACGAATACTTCCCCAATAGCAAAAGGGTGGCTCTGCCGATGGGGATGGAAATTTGCAACTTTTGCCCGGAATGATTGCCATAGTTTCCGCACTGAATTTGCCGAAATGCTCATCGGAAATGCAGGCGAGATTCCCGGAAAACTGACGAGGAACGCGCAGAAGGGGTAATTAAGTGCAGACTCACGGCCATTGTTCTGAAACTGTATAATTCGGGAAAATGTCGCTAAGAACTAATTTTAAATATATTAAATTATTCAGATACAACCATTTTCAGAATTCCTTCAACTAATTGCAGTCAAAATTGAAGAGTGTTTTGCCAGTTTTAATAACTATTATGTGTTAAGTTAAAAGCTTCGACTTTTACGAGTGCCATAAAACAATAATTAAAATGTCGTGAAATTTATACAACACAAATGTCTGATTCACGTGCTTTAGATATTTTTTAGTCAAGTGTTTTTTTTATTAAAACCAAATTGACTTCAGACTACTGAAATGTTCTATTTTTACTTTTATCCTTTATCTGAAAATTTGTACATGCAATAATGAAAATTTCTTATCGATAAAATTTTTTCTTACATGTGTATGATTAGATTGCTTTTTTATGAATTTTGCTTGTTTTTTGGCATAATGATTAAAAATTCTTTTATGTAATTCGTTAAACTTTAGAAACCGGAACTTTTCAAACTTCGAGCGTTTCTTTTTCAGGACTCTCTGAACCGGAATTTTGATTAGAATTGCTGTAATCGGTATTCAATGTGCTTGTGGTAGAAATGTCCATAGAAACATCTGAAAGTCCAGCTCAACTCACCCTGTCGTACTGGTAGAAGGATCTGCTCGGTCCAGCGCGTCCGTACAAGTATGGATAGTAAGCTCCGTACATCATTTCCGGACAAGACACGGCCATTGCGAAATTCCACTGTCACTTTGCTCTTCTCCCGTCTTTCTTGCACTCACTGTGTGACTGTCATCTGGCCAGAGGCAGCGTCAGTCAGAGGAATTCTTCCTTGTCCACCAAAGTGGGCAATCTCACGCCCAATCCCGACTCTCGGCGATGTGAAATGCACCTTGAGATCCGAATCGATCACTCTGCAGCCGATCAATCAAGCGCGATTTAAAATTAAACTCTCCTTTCTTTCGCGCGACACTCGAGAAAATATTTATTGTGTCTTTGTAGATCAATGACAGCAACAACCGCAATTACACTCCGCGATTTGCAATTATAAACGTCAAGGTTACTAAAACGGGAGTTTTGTTCTTACGTGTGCACCTCGAATGCGTCTTCAGCATCGCACTCCTGGCGCACAATGCCCATAGTCACTCGCGAGCGGCGCGCGCACGCCGATTGCACGTCTCGCTCGACGGTGGATTCAAGTGCACGCCACTGCGCCGGACTGCTAGTCCATTAGATCTGCGGCTGCAGCTCCCCGAGCTCAATAAATTATGTATCAGGCTTTTTTGCCGCGCTCAAGTATGAGTTTTCTTGCTTAATTCTCCTGGATTGTTCTCCGCGCGCAACTGATTCACTGCCGACGCCACATTTCATGCACTCACAATTTCATTTCTCCTGCAAAATGTTAAGCAGTTTTTTGCTCTCGCTCTTTTGTTCTTCGGGGCCTTTTTGCTCGTGCTCTGCAAAGGGAATTTCTCAAAGTAACACACTCGCCCGTCGATATCGCACGTTAACACTTTCAATTTCCCCGCTTTTCCCAGCTTTTTGCCCGCCACCCATCGATTTTTCCAGGCCAGACATTGGCACACGGAGTTGCAATAAATTTTATATGTGGCAAATTGTCGTAAAGCGAAATCATGGCGGGTGTTAAAAGTGTCAAGAGTAAAGAGAGAGAAATTCGAGCAAAGGGGTTCAAAATAAAACAACAATGCGGGCTGTGAGCTTAACTTATGGAAATTATTATTAGATAATCTAGTTCAAAATTTCAAGAATTTCAACACACTCGAATTAATCTCTCTCTCTGGTTAACACAGGCGGAAATATTCGAACTACTCTGTCGCACTTTTTCCGAGTTTCTTGCGCGAAAGGTGAAATTGGCAAGAGTGTTAATTTGCAAACTCAACACACGAGACCTCATGAGACAGATTGTGGTGATACTACATCTTAATGATACACCACTAGCGATAAATTAAGTGTCTTAATTTTAATTCAGAACAATGCGACAAATATAAACATGATTGTCGCAAACACCCACGAGTCAATTAAATTTTGGCGCGCTGCTGAGGGATCATTTATCATTTTCCAACGTGAGGAATTTCGCGAGTGCGAAATGAGAGGAAAATGCAAGGGTTTTCAAGTGTTCAGCGTGCGGAAAATGATCTGAAAGTTTTTCTTTCCCCAAAAGAATGCGCCCTCTTTGCGTGTGCACTGAGAGAAAATGAGCTTCGCAGAGCAATTTTTAATTTACCCCCAAAAAGATGGAACACAGAATTTGTGCTTTCAATCAATCCAGCCTTTATCGATCCACACGAGTCTGTCAGTGAAAAATCCTCGGCATTTCACTCTTTTTGTGATAACACCCACGTTTTTTTATGTGACACTCGTCAGTGGATGAATTTGCTATTGTTTCCACTCGCTGAGGATAAAACTTGAACTCACTGCATTCACGACAATTTTTATTGACTTTTATCACTCATAAATTAAAATTTCTGTCACTTACAGCATTTATCACTCTGTGTTATCTCTATTCTGTTCACCACGCATGAGAATTTACCGGTATTTTAAGTATTTCGACAATTTGACGTCCCTCACGTGCGCTGGGACAGGTAATCTCGTGGCTGATTCTCAATCGCGCACAAATTCACTATTTTCGCTATTTTCAGATGTTTTTTTCGTTCCGTTCTGGGGTATATTCTTTCAAACTAGCACCACCACACCTAACCTCACTTTCCTAGGTGACGTCTCGTGGGATTCTCCCGAAGGACTTTCGACACTGTGTCGCAGGATTTGTCCGAATATCGAGTCGCGCTGTAGCGTTTCGGGAAGCGATCAAAACACGTTCATACGCACGCAAACGTTGAGCAACACAGCACAACGACTTCGTGAAAGAATGCGAGACTCGCTGTGGCAATCGAGTTTGGCGCTATGGTAGGGGCTTGACTCCACCTCGAACTGGTCTTCAAATTGCGGCTAGCGACTCGATAATGAAGCTGTTCTGGGCGGGGCCGAGCGCGGTCCGACCCTCGATATACTTCCTGGCCTTCTGGGGAGGCTTGATGAACTCCCGAATGTCCGACGAGGTGTTCGGCACCGTAATGGAGACGCACACACTCCAGCAGGACCGCCGCTCGCTCGCGTCCTGCGCACTGGCGCGCAAACCTCTCCTTTTCGCGCGCACACATCACACTCGCGACCATGCACTGTAGCCTCAACCCTCCGCGGAAGGGGACGCTTGCTTTCAACGCTTCATAAAATTTTGATAATTCACTGGAGGGACGACATAAAAATGTCCCATTTTCCACTCCCGCGTGTCGAGAGGCTGCGAGCAATTAGAAAGATTCGGGGAGGTAATTCTTATGGTTTGCATGCTCCACTGAGTCCCTTTTCTCCTGGTCTTCATTTTGGAAGATTCTTGAAAGGGTTTCAATGCTCTCCTCAGTTGTTTATACAGAGAATTTAATTTTCCTTCTCAGTGATTCTTTTCAGCGCACATTTATTTGGCTGTTAACTTGCGAAGATAAGAATTCGCGGTAAGTTTGAGGTGGGCAAATACCGTCCAAGGCATGTTTTAGAAAATTACCTAAGCAAGGTGCTAAAAGTGCGCCAAAAATAGCTTGATAAAGCAAATGAATAAAGATTGATGTCAGCATATAAAAGTTACTTATTTTAGGACCTCAAGCACTCTTTTGTACGAGGTAGAATAAAAATATTTAACATATTATAGGTTAATTAATTTGTTTATGGAAAAACACGAATAATTTGGTTTGTAAAATAGTTGTTTAATTTATTCAAAAATGTATTTTAAAAATTATTCGATAATTCCTTTCGACACTTGTAAAATTGAACAACTAACTACAATTTGTCGAAAATATCGAAAAATCTTTATATATGTATTCATATGTTTCACTGCTTATCATAAGAAAACTACATATATGATCGTTTCGAAAATTGTGTTACTTTGCAAGTCATTAGAATCATTGGGTAAAATTTTTTAGCAGTGATAATGCGTAAATAAATATTGTGTGTTACTCGCGGTGCCACCAATTAATCCTTTATCTGTTTTTTTTTCTTGAAATTAAGAATCGTTCCAAATTCCAATGATTACAATATCACTTTTCTTGATTAAACCCGCCATTAAGTTCAATTTGGCAGATAAAGTTTATTATTCCTGCATAGAAAAGCGCTTCAGGTTTCCATCGGAAATTGAATTCGAAATACAAGTAATCAACCAAATTGGCACAAGTTATGAATAATAAATTAATGAGCAAGTTTCTGCTTTTTAGAACACACACAAAAGTTCACAGTTGCACAAATTAAGCCCAGAGTGATGATGAGAGACCTTGTTACCATTGCTCCATCAATTAGTGGTCTCGGCAGCTGGCGTGAGTCCGCAGAGCGGTCATGTCATCAGTGATCACGTCGTGCAATTGCGATTGTGGATTTACATTTGATTGATTTATGAATGGATTGCGCCGAGGAAAATCTCGAGTCCTCGAGATGTCTCTGGAGGTGATCATCCTCAACGTGAAAAAGCCGCGAAAAACTAATTGGATTATCGGGTAAAAAGCACCTCGCCTTCAAGTTCCGCGCGAGTCGTGCATTGAAATATGAATTATTGAGCAAGGAAGACAATTCTATGACGAGAATGTTAATATTCTGACCGCGAAGATGCTGAGAAAATTGTCTTGTGGACAACGGTTGTGGCAATTCAAAACTTTAAACGCTGTCGGTTGATATAATTTCTGTGTGTATTTTGTGAGAAAAACGCGCGCGATTCGCGCCGTGCATAAAATCCATCAATAATGTTATCAGTGGAAATTATGAATATTGATGCGGAGGGAGGAATTCCTCGGGAAGTTAATCAATCGGCATCCCCTCGCCATTCGTGGAAGTATTTGAGCAATTGAGAGTCCACTCACATTGCAGAATTGTCTCGATCGGAGGCTCTCTTCTTGTGCAGTGCGAACGTGGAAAAATGACTCGAATCACAGAAGATGCCCATCTCTCTGGCCCTCTCGCTCGCGCCGGCCGGCCGAGAGGCTGCGGCCGGAGCGAGAGAGCAGAGGCGCACAATAAAATAAGTACAATGCTGAAGTATGTGCGGAGGAATGAAGATGGAAGCAAAAAGGCCACTTGCCACTCTTCTCTTTAAACTGCACCGCAAAATGGCGGGCTTCGATTGCAATTTTCTTGCTCTTTTTCCCGGCCGCGAACATCCATCATCATCGAGGCCAAAGAGGTGCAAAAGCGTGGTTTTTCACTGAGGCTTCGGCGAGTTGAATAGAACTTAGCTGCGATTGAATTGGCAAGAAGTGTTTATGAAAACGAATTCGGTCGGCTCAATTGATGTTATTTATAATATATGATAATCTTGATCAATCAAAGGAATGAAATAATTGATTTTAGGAATCTGAATGATTAGAATTGGATGCAGACGACTATTATGTGTGAATTTAATATTTTTGTAACGTAATTCATATTATTAACTTTGCTTTTAACCGTCTTCATGCGTCAAATCACCACACGTGTTTTGTCTTTAAATATATTCTTGGCAACTCGAGATAAATAACAATACTTAGCATATAATTCTCAAACTCATTGGATATGTTGAATATTGTAATACTTTTCGGTAAAGCTGCCCAAAATATGTTACATATTGCAATAAAATCTTTCCATTAAAGAAGTTGAAGAAGGAAAAATTAAATTGCTCTGTTAAATTTCTATTTTATTAGGTTCAAGATATTTTTTCAACATTCTATGTTAAAATTACTAATTAAACGTCCCAATTTCTGCGATATTATTTTAAATTGAAGAAGAGATAAATATCTAAAAAAAATAATGATAATAATAATCAACTAAAAATGCATACAAAATGCGCACAAGTGTTAATCTCCAACCCTTGCAAAGAATCTTCCCCCATCGCTATGAAGCGATTGTAGGAGAAGAAAAGCGGCAAATAAGAGCATAAATGACAATAATGAAAATCGTTCCCTCAATTTTCTCCGCGTGCTGAAATTCTGTGCCTGAGAATTCACATGGAAAAATATCTCAACTCGTTGCCAGGAATTTTCCCGTTGAGTCTCAAAGAAGGAGAGACATCAAAGGGAAATATTTTCTTTCCATCAACTCAGGTGGGCGAGGAAGGGCTCGTGTAGGTTGAGTCTTTCCTCGAGTGTCCTTCTGTGTATTTTGCTCAGGCACTCTCTCAAGACGTTTTGGAAGGAGGATTTTCATGTGTTTTCACAACGGCTTCCTTTCAATTCCTCAACACGTGCGCCACCTAGCCGGGCGCACTGCAGGCTCCCGAGACACACTCGCCGAAGAAGCCTCCCAATTGGTCCAATTGGCATGCATGCTGGTGTTCTTCCCAGAGCGACAGTGCTGCCAACTTGCGCAGTTTTTTTTGCGTAATAAAACGTCAAACCGTGCTTCAATGCAAGATGCTGTTTTTCTTGTGAATTTCCCTGCAAAATATTCGCGGAATCATCCACGAGACAGCGCGATTGGCTTGGAGAGTGCACGAATACCCTTTTGACCGGCTCCCGGGGACAATTGCTTGGACAGTCGTCGCGGGAGTGGGCACGTCCAGGTGAGTCCCCAAGTTTCAGGATCCACCACACCCAAATGGTGAGATTTTGACCATTTCGCCCAACTTTCGCACCTCTGAGGGGCTCCTTTGGGGGTGATTTCCCTGCCGGAGAGTCTAAAGAAAGGCCCAATGGGTGGATGAGGTGAGAAATTGTGGATATACCGGGATTTTCTCATGGTTTTCTGTGTCAAAGATGGCTCTCGTCTTTCGCTCAAATTCCACGGCATTTTTCTAACATTTTTGATTTGCCGGGAGACTCTTTGGGTCTCTTGAAGACCTCTGCGGTGGCAGCAAATGGGATTTACGTGTAAATATTTAGTGGAAATGTATTCACAGTGTGATTTATTTGCAGATGAAAATTACGCATTTTGTTTGATTGGAGGAATATTTGGGCCGGGGGCCGATGCTAGCGCCACACACTGGCTTCTTAGCAGAACTGTGTGACAGCTGAAAACTGACCACGATGTTTTGCGATGCTGGCAATTTCTGCTAAAAATGCCCCTTATCACTTGATAAGGTGGCCAAATGAGACGTCGCGAGATAGAGTAACCCTCCAGGTATCTGATTGATAAGGTGGATTCGGCTGACAAGAGGTTCTTCATGGGAAAACTACTCAGCAAAAAGTCGCGTATTTTGTGCTGATCCGGACACACTCTAGTGTTTGCTATTCATTCGAAAACACACCCAAAAGTGCCCTCAGAGCCTCATATTTTGCTTGATTTGCGTTGGGGAGGCGCTAAGCAGTGCCACAGGGGTGCTCGTGAATCTCTGTGATAAGGTTTGGGACTCTGCGAACTGTTTTCTATCCTCACGGTGGTTTTGCAAGACGAATCACCGTCTTAAAATAGCCCTGAAGAATCCCAATCTCTCGCTCTCGGGCGCCACCCGTGCGTCTGCGTGAGATGCTGCGTGCTCTCGCGATCGGCGCTGTTGACCAAAACGCCCGGATCGCAAGACGTTCTACTGGCCTCTTCACGCACACACATTCACGTTCTGTGCATCAATTGCTAGAGCATTAGACGCTCTAATCCTGTTCCAAAGGACAGTTGAACCACTAATTGCGATAAGTTTAGAATGTACAAACTCTGTTATCCTCTCTTGCGATCAATACTTGGAAAGATTGTTGTTTTTTGCCTTCGACTATCAAGAATTGCTTTTTGCACAAACTCTTGTGCTTTTGACTGTGTTTGTGCGTGAGTGAGAAAAGTCCGACGACACCCAAAATTCACCATTCGGCTTCTGATCCACATTCTCTCAGCATTTTCTCCCGTCTCGACTCGAGGAAAATTCTCACCCAAAGTGCAAAAATTGGCGATCAAATGGTGAGATTGTGTCTCTCTGGGTGGATTCATTTCTTGGGTGTTCGTGATTAACGCTGTTTCGGCACCGCGTGATCACACACGGAGTCAAGTCCTTGCGGTGTGCAGAAGGAGTGTGTTGCATAAGTGGTGCGTGAGTGTTGCGTCGCGTGAAGATTTTCTCCCAAAAATAGTGCACGCAAGTTGCGCGAGAAATCAATGAGACAATTTGTGGAGGAGGATCTCTCGATGGGACATTCTTGGGCGCGCTTGTCCCCATTTCTCGCATGCCGCAAAATGATCTTTAAATGCACGTAAAAGTGTGTAGAGAGATTCATTATTAGGTCTTTCCATCTTCACACTCGGCCGCGTGTGTGGAGAAATTTCCGTTTTTCATAAAAATAAATTCTCATAAATTTTGATTTAAAATATTCCCGTGTGTGCGCGTGTCGTGAGTGTAGAAATCACGACGAGTGTGTTGTGTCACTGGCGTGAGGATAGAAAAAAGAGGAGATATAAGAGGAGTTGCGCGAGCTGTGGCGACGGAAAGTGGCTGGTGATAAAAAAGAGTCTCCTCGTCAGTGGCCAGGAGGATGGGCAGCGAGCGGGCGAAGTGAGTGCTAGATGAGAGATAGCGGCGGAGCCAGGACGTGGCGGCATGCAAGATTGGTCCTTGTGACGCCTTCTGGTGGCCCCAGGAAATTATGCCCGTTAGCACTGATTATGGCGAACCACCTGCAAAGTGCTGCAAATATTGTGATGGTAAAGGATCATCGAGTTAATCCTTGATTACAGATCTCTGCTCACGACATCAGAATTTTGAACTGCTCTTTCGTCCTCTCGTGAGGACTTACTGAATTCATGATAGAATTTTCAGAGCGCTTAGAACACATTTGGTCATGCAAGAAAGGACGCAAAAATTAATTTTATTACATTTAATTCAGTGAAAAATATAATTTAACAATGAAGCATTCGCCAATTTTGACTAGAATAAATCACAGTAATGATGAAGAAATTCGTGTACTGGAAGTGTAATTATGATTGTTTATTGATAAAATATACTCTTGTAAAATTTAATTGTTCTTGGAGCTGTGAAATCTGTCTCAAATTGAGTTCATTCGCTCTCAAACGCCACTTTTAAGTGTGTTGCCTTCAAATTGCTTATAGACATGCAGAATGAGCCAATTCACATTTCACTCTCGAATGTTGGAAAAGATGCTTTTGTAGCCAAATCTGTGGAATTTCCAAGTCTAGAATTTCTAATTTAATCACCAATCCACATGAAATTCGAGGCATTACAATCGATATAATGTAAAGTCGATTTCATTGGGCTGTTTTCATCCTTTTCACTGTGAGGAGATTTTCACATTTCACATGATTCTCGATTGGGGATTTAATTCGCATGATTCGTGGAATATTTACTGACGTAAACGGGAAATACGGGGGAAAATCATAAAGTTTTGTGCTATGCAACAAATCGTGGATGATGTAAAATTGGCGGATTTAATCAAAATGCCTTTAGTGATTATTTATTGAGGAAGTTTGTCGTGATTTAGATGAGCAATTTAGCATCAATTTTTGGGTGAAAGTGTCTGCGGGTGATTATATGCCAAAAGGCATAAATTTGTCTGTTTTTCCCAGTGGACCGAATAAAAATCGCGCGCACCCACGAACTTTTTGACCCTGAAAAATTCGAACGTGCAGATTATTTCAAGGTCAAACAGATGTGTGAATGAAAATTTTGAGTTGGATACTTCTTTCTCTGTGTTCCTCAGGCCATTTAACAAGCACTAAATCCCGCGGGGAAAAATCCGCGAGGCGTTATTTACGTGGTATTTGAATTTATGTTTCGATGCTCCGCATGTGGGTGGGATTTTTAGGATTGTGAAGAAATCACTGTCCACGCGAGGGGGTGAGATTAGAGACTAATTGAGTCTCTGGGATGCCCACGCACGCAGTCTGTATCGGATGAAAGGAGTGCGTCCGGAAATGTATGACTGAGTTGACAGTCGGACGCGTGAGAGCAGAGATGTGAATTTTGATTGCAAATCTTGCAGAAAATTCACACGATTATACAATGTAGCGCAAAAATGTTAATTTGTCGAGCGACGATGCAAGTGGGAAAGGAAGGGTGCGTTGATGTATAAAGAGAGACAGAAGGAGAAGGAAAGTGGAGTGTGTATAAAAGCTATTAAGATTCCTGTGTATTATTTCAGGATAGGAGAGAGGGAATGTGAGAGTCTTTCTTGGCTTCACATTGAATTTTTGAACAAGCTAGTTTTCTTTCAATTTTCCCCGACTTTTTCCTATGCTGTTCACCCATAGTGAGCAAGAGATAAAAGAGACAAATTAATCCACCCACAAATTGACCAAGAGATAGATGTAATTTTGTGAAAATTTAATTGATCTTCCTGCTGGCAATTCTCTTTCTTTTTCCGTCTGCCTTGGCTCATGTATATCTGTGTGATAAAATTTCCGTAATTTAGGCGCGCGTACGGTGCGGATTTTCATTTAGATCTCAGGGTTTTTCACTCAATTCTCTCGCACTTTTACCCACAAAATACTTTTCATGTGGCGTTAAGACGTGCGAAGGACTTTTTTTCTGTTTCCTCAGCAGAGGAAAAGAATCAATTGCCTAATCGAATCGGGCATATCAGATTGATAAACCGCACGATTGTGCGTGCGTGCGTGCGTGATGATGAGAAAATTCCTTCAGCAACAAGATGTCTGCGCTGATGGCTTAGATCGCACGATCGCAGCATTGTATGGCTGCAAAGAGGAGGAATTTATTTGTTGTGTGATCTTCATGGCATTAGAAATTCTCGCCAAGAGCGCGCGAGGATCTATTTAGTATTAGGATTCGCAAATAGTAACATTTTTATTTAAAAATGTGTCTCTGCATTTTGTGTGGCGCGGCACAAGGTTTTCGTCGGCCTTTTTTTGCATCATCTCTGGCTCTCTAATGCGTGTGTGCTTGTTTTGTCAATGATGATGGGACGATGACGATGAAAATGTGCGACTTGCTATTCCACTATGTAGACAAGTGAAATTTTCCCTCCCATGCCCACCCTCTTCGCGTTGCCCGGGTTCATCATCCAACCGAAATTTGTATACAATTTTAAAACATACATAAAAGCATCTCGCGTGTATTTAGGAGAGACAAATAGCGTGTGTGAGAGAGAGAAGAGCCACATAAAACACACCACATTTCAATGGCATTCATTCTGCAATACAAAAAGTGAACATAGAAGTGATTCAATGAATAACCATCAGCGCTTTTCCTTCTATTTTTCTTATCTGCCTCTCTCGCTCTCTCTCACTTACGCCTTCTTCTTTAGCATCTCTCACATAGAGATCTGTTATAGTTTTTCATGTAAACCATGACAGAGTTTCCAACACACATCTTGCAATAATGTGTGTTTATTCCAAATTTTCCTCGCCGATTTCGCTGTCGATGTGGATGCGCGACGTTGCTCGGTGGAAAATCTTCATTACATAACATTAAAATGTAGACGTTAGGGATTTGCTGGTGAATTTCAGCAAAATGAACCTCACCATTCTCACACGTGTGTGTGTTTTGGACTATGAGGCACTTTAAGGGATTACCTTAAGCTGACGGAAGGAGTTTGTAAAATATTGAGCAAGTGTTTGATGGATTTCCCAGGGAGAATTGCAATTTAGTTTTTCGCCAACATTGCACCG